CAAGAGGCGCTACTTATGAGTTGTCATCTGGTAATCTCGCCGGCAATCAGCTCCGTATTACCAACGGGACTGTGCAGAAGATCACACAACGTTATCAGACGGTAATCGCATTACAGGACGGCAATGTAAAACTGCCGCTGGAGTCATTACCTACTTATTCATCGGCCTGGACAGCGCTTAAAGGCAGCAATAACAGCTTTAATATTGCAGACCTCGAAGCCAATAAGCTTAATCACAGCGATGCAAAACCTGCGGCGATACGGAACGCGGTGCAACAGGCAACCCGCAAGGCAAGGATGAGCCGGAAAGAGGCTGCCGACTGGCAGGACGCCGCTAAAAATGTAAAGACTGCTGACAAAGCACCTTGTGTGGTATTGCTACGCAATGTATCCTGGAGGATAGAAGGGAAAGACGCGGCGGGGAAAGCTTTTAATAAAGAAGTACGGATAGACTTGCCGAGGTAGGTGGTCACATCATAAAATTGAAGTAACCTATATCAAGCCTATTCGCGGGGATGTAATGAAAGGATATGCTCTTATTATCCATTCTTTGCCAGCCAGGTTTCAAACTCAACTCTGTTGCTTTGAATGGTCTTTAAGTTACTTCTTATAATAAACTCCGGAATCGGATCGATATGGGTTTGCAGAATTACAGGTCTTAATAAGTTCCTGGAAGACCATTTCTCGTGACCTCCGCTGGTACCAATATGGTTTAGACCTTTATACTTCAGGAACCTCCTAAAAGTGGCAATTGATATATTTTTCAATCCCTTTATGCATACATCGGTATTTGTACTTCAGTGCTGATCTTTTTAAAGTTATAGTTTTCAAAGACTCTTTTAAAATGATCATTTTTCTCTAAAAGCTCGCTAAAATCCGGTGGCGTCATCTTTCGAGAGAGCGCCTTCACCTTCCAACCTCTACTTCTTAAATCGAGTAGAAGTGTCTTTTTACTGGTCGTATACTGGAAGTATTCGGCCATGATGTGCTTATAACTTTGTATTGCTTCGACTTCATTATTTCCGTAGCCGGATAAATCTAACGCCGGACAATAACAGATAGTTGCTCCATCCTCCTCAAATATCAGCAACGGTAAATGAAAATTAGCACCACGGCCATCCGGCAATCTCAACCTTCTCTGAAAACGGGCCTGCTTTCTCATCTTATAAAATTACGCAGCAATATACTACCGCCAATC